TCTCCATCCCTGGAGGTGTTTAAGGACAGACTGGATGTGGCATCAGTGCCATGGGCTGGGAACCACAGCGGGGTTGGATCAAGGGTTGGACTTGATGATCTCGGAAGTCCCTTCCAAGCCGGCTGATTCTGTGATTCTATGATTCTATGAAAGCAGATAGCACCAAAACATTCACATTTCATACATTTACAGTCCTCAGGTGTTGGTTTTGATACTGAGGTCCATGCCAAGTGTCCCCTGGGGCACCAGTCCTGCCATGCAGATAGGAGGAAGAAAGTTCCATGGGTGACCCAATTCCCAACAAATGCTGCGTTGTCTCCATGGATTATTTGTCCACCGTGCAGAGAAACAACCTTGTCTCCTGGAAGCCAGTCTGCTTTCCTGTTGCTACAATAAGGCCCAGTTGTTGGTATTTATTGTGCCAGTCACCAGTCACATCACAGTCCCCTGGTGAAGCGGGTAGGTGGGTGTGAGACAAGCTGGATGGGAGGGTTATAAACAAGAGCTCAATTTAAGTGACTAAACCACAGTGGCTCACTGTCATGCGAGCATCTCTCAGGTTGTATCTTAGCAACTGGCCAGCCAAAACCAGAGGATCAGCACATCTGAAATCATCTCCAGAATTACCTGAAACTCTTTGGTTAATAATTTGTGCTGAACTCCCTAAAAATAGGCACTGCTGCAAGAGCTATCCTACTTCACGAGACAAAATAGTATTCTACCCCATGGGCTGGAGAACACAATCCTGTGCTTAAAATCCTGTGTTTTAAGTTCAATCCCTGCCTCATCGTTCAACCAATTTTTGCCAGGGTCCACAAGGACCTGCGTGGGCCCGTGATGAGCGTGGCTGACACGTTCTTGCCATTTGGATCCCAGAGGAATCTGCTTTTTAGACACCCCTTGCTCCAAGGGCTATCCACAGCACCATGCTCACTGCCAGCTGGCCCTACCTGAGCTAACTCTCATGGGCTCACCTGGAGCACTGCAAGTCCCTTCTGTGAGTTGTGTCAATGCCATTTTGGGAACATGCAGTGGCTTCTCCACAAGCTCACTCACGAAAACGAAGCTTAGGCCAGTTTCAGACAGAATTCTGTGCAGAACAATACAGCCCTTCACTGACAACAGTAAATCAAATTAGAAATGTTCCTAAAAATTAGCAGTAACATCAGACTAGGTTGAATTTTTTCAGTTATCTGTGGGAGACTAAGTTTCTATAAATAAACTGAAGCATGTTTTTGATGAAGGAAGTTCAAAACAAAGCCAAATTGTCAAAATAGCCAAGAGCTTTTCAAAGCAACAAAACTCTTTTAGTCCAAACACAGGAGCATTTTCAGACACACTGAGCTGGACAAAACAAGATTGTGTGGGAATGCACAGAGGGAAAGGCACTGGATGCTGCTGCAGCAGTGAGCACATGACCACGTGCCTTTGGTAGCACTTTGCATTGACAGATTGTTTAGGAGGGAGGAGGTGCTAGAAATTTTTCCCTTTTCATGAGAAAGAAATGAGATAGGGAGAAGTCAGTATATTTGGTTGAAACTCTCAGTGGCCTAAGCAAGGAACAAGCTCCAGGTAATTTTCAAGGCTGCCATCCCCTTGACTTTCTCCCTTAAAGTTGGTGGCAGCTGGACCTATTTCACACAAATCTGAATGAGCAATAAATATTTCAAAGTCCATTCATTAGAGACTCTTGATTCAAAATCGAATGAAATATGACTTTTTTCATGTGTTTCACAAACCTGTTTGTGGTATAGATCATCTGCCACTCAGTGCTGTGGCTATAAAGACAAAATGTTAAAACAAAAACGTATTTACAACCACTGTCTCTGTCAGGACAAACAGCACTGGGGGCTGCCCTTGTTTCAGCAGCTCTTCCACAGTGACTTATCTGTCTTGTTCCCAGCACTTGCACAGTTCTGGGTGGAGATTAGGAACCATCCTGGGCTTTGGAAGCACAACTCCCCCAGTCAAACAGCTCGGGCAGGTCCAGTTATCTACCTCTCCTCATGGCAGCAAAGGGGCCTCTGAGCAGCTCTGTGGGTGGCCAGGGCAGGGCTGGGGAAGAGGGGAAAGGTAAAAGGCAGTTTTTTTCCTATGTAATGTGTCTAATATTAGCTGGGCACCTCAGCACCTGGACCTTGTGGCCTCCAATACCAAAAACCAATCTGCTGTCTGTTTTCCTGCCATCTCTGATGTGTGCACAGCCCCCCAAGCTGGGGCTCTTCCCTGAGTTCAGTGTAGAGCATCTGCATCAGAAAACAAGACCTCTGCTTAGCCCTGACCCTCCCACACACCAACAGCCCCAACATCATGGAAGGGCTTTAGAGCTGAGGGCTTGAGGAAACCATCCCAGGATGTGTCTCCTCTGAAAGGGATGTGGGGGAGAGGAGAGCACAGCTATTTTTCCATCACTGCAGCTGCAATGCAAGCAATTTCTAAGACCCAAAGTATGCATTTACTATGTTCACAGGATTCATGAATCTGGATAACAGAAGAATCCCTGTAGAAACACACAGATTATACTCACAATCAATCATTCAGAGATCTTGTTTGCTTTTTGTTAAATCCAAATTTCACTCTGAGGCTGGTGGGGGATCATCATGAGAAAGATGTGTAAAATGATCTGATACAAAGCTTGAGACACAGGTCAAATAATGCAAAGGAAAGAACCCAACAAGCTCCCTGGGCTGTTGCCCCCAAATTCTTAATGGTTGGTTAAAAAAATTATATACACTGGGTTCATATCTCTGAGTATCTCCAAGGGAATTTGTACACTCTCATTTTTATGTAGCACAAATTTGTCATTGATTGTCCCAAAAATTACATATTACTCAACAATTCAGGAATTCAGCAATCATTCAGTCAAGTATTCATCAGCCTCAGCTGGTATAAATTGTGGCAGTATTTAAAATTCATCTGTCTTTATTATACCCTGCTACAAAGGAAACAAGAAATCTAAGTGTATCCATCCAGCAAGCAGTAGCTTGGTCCTACAAAAGGGAGAGATAATTTACTGTAAAATGAACAAAGGGTGAAAAAAGTTGAACAGAGAAGCTGAATTGCATGGACAGGGAGAGAGAGGCTTTCACTTCAGCACTGCTCATTAGCATTATATAGAAAGCAGAGATGCTGGATTTCAACAGCATCTCTTCTGGTCTCATTTTCAACATTCTCATCTTCAACATGTGTCTTCTGGTTCTCATAATTCAACCAGCAACAAATAGAGCTCTCACTTGTTTCTTTTTAAATACAAGGACATGTACCAAAGGTTTTGAGATGCTGTCAGGTAGCTTGTTGGTAAAGCAGTAATTGTACCAATTCCAGGGGGAGAAATGCACTCCTTTATTATTGTACTTTCATTCCTAAGTGCCTAGCAGGGAATGGTGGCATACACTGCAAAATTGGGAAAATATGATACTGCACGTGATACTACTGCACACGATATCACAACGAAAGAAATGTGAAATAACAGCAGCAATCAAATCTGCCTTTCAAGTCTTGGTTTTCAGAGGGTTCATCCCATCACAGAAGCATGAAGGAATTGGTTTTTTTCCAGAGACTATGTTTTATTTATCTAAATAGTGTCCCATTGTGTACACTGTGTTTGTGAACTCCAGAGAATGATGAGCCCTTAGAGAGATGCATTTATACTACAGGCCTCCATCCCAAGAGGATGAAAGAGCTGTGCAGCTCTGGGTTTCATTACCCTTTGGCCCCTCTGCTCAGGCTGTGGTCATGAGGGACCAGAGAGGGAAAGCTATTCTGAGGAGACAGTTTTGAGATTAAATGTCTCTATTTTGTCACTGAGAAAGCTGCAGAGAGAAAATTAACTCATCTTTCTGAAACCCCAGTGGGACCCACTTTTCAGAGGGGAAGCTTGTTTCCAAGTGCTCCAAAAACAGGCCATGAAAGACAACCTGGGAACTGCCACAAGCCAACTGTTCAGTGTGGGCCTGTGGGTCAGGTTCACCCCCTGAGGTGCCTTCAGGCAATCTGCCTTCTTGGGCACAGGGGCACGGGCACATGAAATACAGCTGCTCACAACTGTACAGAGCTCGGGGCTCAGACTGTTCACTGCAGCTACTCCATCCCTGTGCTGGTCCCCTCCTCTGCTGGTGACACCTTGGGACTGCTGCAGCCCATCCCAAACTAACGTCTGTCCCGGGCACAATGAACCACCCTGCAGAAAGCAAAGGAAATCCTGTTCCCCATCTCCCTTCTGAAACATGCACACAACTAAAATTATGTTGATTCGTTGATACAGTTTATCCTAATTTGTGTCATAACAGGAACAGGATCACAAAAAATCCTCACTTTGTCAGCTGCAGGGAGTGAAGAAACACGGGTCAAAAGGTGTGGCAATCAGAGAGAACAGTGTGGTTTGGGTTCTCACCCAACCATGAGAACCCAAACCTCATTCTGCCTCATTTCTGTGGTACCTTGTAGGTAGATTTGTGCTTCACACATTCATAAATCAGCAAAAATACTTTTTGCCCACGACACCGCAAAGTTGGGTTTATGCTTATTCATGAAAAGTTTCAAACTACTCAGGGGAGAGAGGACCTGTGAACTAAACACAAACCACCAAAACCACCCAAACCACCAAACAGCAAGCACAGGGACAAGAATACCTCAAAAGCTCCAGTGCCAAAGAGCAATATTTGGGGACTATCCCAAGCTGAAAAGTGACACTTGTCCACACTCCAGACAGGAACCCAGCTGGGAGCCCTCACCAGGCAAACCAAGAGGCACAAAACAAAAAAACCTTTGCACCTTCCAGCAAATGAGCGAAACTCATAACCTACCCTCCGGGCTCGTGTCCTGCTCCTCGGTTAGCGGGCAGCCCTGCCTCGTTTACCACTTGCAAGCACGAAAGAGTTAAGACGAACCTGGCACAAACTTTGCCTCGAGCTGAGCTCACAGCCTCCCTCTCCCTTCCCTCCTCGGCTGCTGCAGCGCCGGAGCTCTTTATTCATCGGCTCCACTCTGCCCAACGCTGCCGAGGGGGGGGACCGGCTGCTTCCACCCAAGCACTGGAGCCCCTGGAGCGAAGGCTCCTCGCCCCTTCTGCTATTGCCTGCGAAGGAGGGACATCAGCAGTGATGCTGCTCTGTGACATCCCAGCATAGGGAGTAAGAGCCATCGCTGCCAGCAAGCCATGTGAACGCAAGAGCAGAGGAGAAGAAGTGCACTATCCCGACTCCAGCTATAAAACAGCTAATCTTTGCTGCACAATTCCCACTAGCTGGAATGGGGGATGTTCCTAGATAAATCACCAGCAAGCTCCTGGTCTGAATCATGGACTCCCGTGCCTTGTCCCAACACCACTGCCTGCTCTGAAAGGTAACTATGCTTTATTCCCTTCTCTCCCTATGCACTACCACAGCTCAGACACTCTCAGAGCCTTCACTTCAGCATGAGAACAAAGAATACTGCCCACCACTGAAAGAAGAGATACCACTCTATCCCCCCACCACTTTCCTCTCCCTCAGATCCTCCCCAGAAAAAATGCAAACCGTGGATGGGACTGGTACTTTTGATGTTTTGCTTGCATTTCTTCAATGCTGGTATTTTTCTGTAAAGGTGACCTAGACAGAACACACCCGGTACTGAGTGTTCAAAACTGTTCTGTATTTGCCAGCCAGTTCAGTCCACTTTAAATTAAGGGAAAGGGGAAGCTACACAAGCTGTTGTTCTGTTTTGTCCCACTTACCTGTTTGTAAGAGTCAGAGTATCGTGTGGAAAAGCAAAAGAGAACTCAAAGAAGTTGCCTGCACTTTCAGAGGTGCCGTGCTGGCAAGTGGCACTTACACCCAATATGGGAGCAGAAGGAAGCGAGTGGGAAGACAGGACATTTACTGCACTTGCAGGATCAGTTTGTACTCTCTGCATTGTTTTGGGGGAAAATCTTTCTTTCTCTCTGCTCCCCTGTGACCTACAAAGGGTGCAGATTACAGCCATGCGAGCTTCATAAAAACTGCAAACCTGAAGCTACCCACACCCTGATAGCTGCAGTGAGGGGCTGGTAAATTCAGCACCCATTAAGTTTTGGCTGCTGAAATTCCTGTCTCAGTGACACACTCCGAGAAGAAACCTTTCTGTTCTTGTGTATGAGGCTTCTATTTTCATTGCAGATTTTTATTAAATGAAATATGTTGTGTTTGGGGTTTTTTAATCTCTAATTAAAAATAACAGCAAACTGATAAAAAGAAGTGTCTGCTTGGAATCAATCTGTACCCACTGAGCACCAGTGATCACTAATGGTGCCTGGCCCCTCTCAGAACTGGAGTATTGTCCAGCCAGAGAATGATTAAATCTTGATGAACAACTGAGATCAGAGGGAATGTGGGCTCTTGTTATGCTGCTCTGCTCTATAACAAACTTCCATTTAGTTCCTCTGCCCGTGGACTTGAGGGCTTCTCATGGTAACCAGTGAGATTTTGCCTCCCATAATCTGCCATACAGTTATAGTGCTGACCTGCTTCATGCACAGTTTTTCAGAATTACTGTGTACCACTTATTTTTACATCACTTTGGTCTCTACAGTCTTCATGACTCTATTCCTTAAAAGGGGTTGTGCAAAACTAAATCTACCGGATATCCAAAGAAATGTGCCAATGGGATAATTGGTAGATTGAAAAGAAAAAATCTTTGGGGTTGTCTGGAGCTACTGAATTATTTCTGGCTCATTTCTGGAAAAGATGCAGTTCATGTTACAGTTTTCAATAGTCTGAACAGTTGATTGCTCCTGACAAATCTATAGTTGCAATTAAAAAAACCCCAAGCTGTGCCAACTCCCCATTGCTAATACTTCTTACTATTAATCTGCTCCTTTCAAAAATAAATGCCCAGCTGAGCTTTGCTAATTCAACATCTTGGTTTGTAGTAAATTACTGAACTTCAGACTAATGTCCTTAGCATTCTGCAGTCTAATTTTATGAAGCATGTAAAGCCATTAGACTCTCTGCTCCTTAAGGAGAGAAACTAGCTCTGGCTTTTGCTTTCAGTAACAGAGCAGATGGGATGGGCAAAGGCATTGCTCTGTACTTTAACTCACACAAGTGTCAGATTCCAGACTGACTGCATTTCATTATCAACAGAGAAATCATATTGTAAGGACAGAGGTTTGAGTCAGCCAGTTACCTTCACACCCTCTGTTTCCCACCTGGTGTACAGCATGAGAACATTCTTCATGGGGGAAGAATTTCCATTTGTAGATTTGAAGTGTGAAAATCACAGTTACTGCCCTGTAAGTGAGAGCAAAAGTGCCTGGCTGCCCCCCAGCCTTCACCTTCGTGTCCCATGGCTCTGCATCAGCACAAAACCTGCTGCCACAATAACTGGCTCCACAGGACTTGGGTCAGCTCCTGGAGAAATACTGAGCAACCTTTTCCTACTGTGCTTGCCCACACACAGCACAGCTCAGGATCCACTATGCTTGCAGGGGCTGCAAAAGTCAAATCCCCAAGCTATTTTTTCAATCAGCAGTTTGGCCCAGCTTATTACCAAGGAGGATCTGGTCCAATATTCCCTAAACAGGATCACTGTTATCTCAGCTGCTTTGGTACTGAAGAAGGTACTGTGGGAGCTGGAAGTTAAAGTGTAGACAAGCCTCCATGCCCCTTCTCCAAAACCTCAGCTCATCAGATGTTTCCCCATCACATGAGCCAAAGCTGGTCTGTCTTGCTTGTAATAAAAGCCTGCATATCAGCTCCTTGATGACTCCAGATTTCAACCACCTCTCTCTGAAGAACAGCAAGGTGTTGTTCCCATTGGTGCATAGGGAGAACATAACCAAACATTGTCAATAAATCAGCTGCATTTTACAAATGGAAGGCTCATGAAAGTCAAAATGTTTTGCAATATGTCTTCAAGGTGAAAATTTAAATGTCAGAACTTTTATCATTTTGACCTAATGTTTCATTTTAATCTGACAAGCATAGTATAAGACTATGTTAATATTACTCTGCTTACATCTCATGTAGGTGTATAGGGAGTGAACATTTTAAATTACTGCATCAGTTTGTTTCAGTGCTACCATTTTTGTTTCAGCTAAAACCAAGATTCTTATCAGAGCAGAACGTGATTCTTTTGGATGCACCATTTACAGTGAAATTTCAGCATTTTTATTTTCTGTTTCCAGCTATAAGAATTAAAATTGCTAAAATGTTAAGATTCCTCCCATTTCTAGTGAGTTCTGCTGCCAAGAGGTGAGTGAAGTGTCACATCCTGCAGCAGTGTTGCTGCAGTGGGACAGGTAGGGCTCTGGATACCTGCCAGGTGCATCTGACCCCAGAAAAAAGCCTCCTGATAAACAATAAATGAGACACAGTGAAAAACAGTGATTGGATTCGTATCTTCCCTTTCTCTGTGACATCTAATTCCACAGACTGTGGGGCCTTCTCTTACCCATAAGTAATGTGTTACCAGAGGAGACCTTAACAATTAGATTGGCATGATCTTGTTCTAAAGTTAAATACTCAGTGCTTCTCCTGATTTCAGTGTCTCACAGGACCATGATAAGGGGTTTCTTATCTATTTGTTCTAAAGATACCACATAAAGACTAAGCTATTTTGGTACCTGGCTTCATTTCTCTCTCATTTTTTTTCATTTTAGAAAGCTGAATTTTTGATTGTTTGTAATGAGGAACTCAAAACTCCATGCTCTTTAAGCAAAGATCATTAGCCCAGGATTAGAAGACATCCCTCAGCAATCTGGCAAAGCAGAAAACAACCCTCCCCAGCTCAAACAAGGATACCTGCTGTGGTAGAAGGTGGCAGAAAGCTCATTGTGCAATTTGTTTGGAAAACAACACCAAAGCTGTGCAAACCTTTGCAGCTCAGTTTGAGAGAAGGACCAGAGCTTTTCACCTGCCAAAGAAGCTGACCTACCAAAAGAAGGACCAAAATATTTTTAGCACAAAATAAAAGCCAGGGGGGAGTGTAGAACACGATGCTTGTTATCATTGTGACAGCAACTTGCAAAATGATTTGCAAAGTCCTGTCCCGTGCAGTGTGAACCAGCAGCCTTGGCACCGAGAGGATGGAGCACCTCTTGCTGAAGCCATCGTGACATCTGTCCTAAGTTGCCTCCCCTGACATCCTCTGTGAGTCTGGTGAGGGAAGACAGCAAATTGAAGGTATGTAGGGAAAATGGACCAGAGCTGACTAACCCCCAGGCCCCAGAGAGCAATGACTGAGACCTACTTAAAATCCCGTGGAAACCTGACTGGCCGTGTCCACCTTCCAACTGTGGCTACCGAAGTAGACACCACAGCAGATAAATATTCCGGCCTCTACGTGTACGTGGGATTGTTCCTGACACTCCTGGCTGTCCTTCTCATCCTGCTTTTCTCCATGCTCCTGCGCATGAAGCACGTTGTTTCCCCGGTCTCCGTGTCTCCAGAGGGCACTGAGAACACCCAGCAGTTCACAGATGTGGAAATGCACAGCAGGATTCCAACCACATAGAGACCACAGAGCAAGGAGGAGGGTTCTGTGCTTGTGAAACGTGTTCTGTTCAGCAAAACGTGGTGGAAAGAATCTGTGGCTGCCTATTGAGCCCCACAACTTCTTGCACAACCATCACCAGCAGCACAGAGCAGCTGGGAAGTGTCATGACTCTCGGGCTGGCTGGCTGTTAACACTACAGCTAACCTGTGTGCAACACCCTCAGTCAAACTTACATTACAGAAACCTGCTGCTGTCAGGAAAGGCTCATATCCCTCTACAAAACTTGCAGAAATCATGAAGACCACAATAATAACAGCCAAAAACCCAGAGAGACATATAGCACAATGTGTCTTGGAGCCTGTATTTGCTGACACCTCTCTCTGCCCTTAAATATCTACCTTGTGAAAGGAGTTGAATCAACAAAGTTGAGTTGTGTAAGTGGGAAGAACCCACAGGGCACACACACAAATTATCAGTGGCTTGAATATTCTCAGGCATTTCTCCCATTCAAGAAGGAAAACTTTAAATTGCTTTTTTTTCCACTGAAATGGCAATTACACAGTGGAGTTTTGGAAGTGTACAAATGTTTCATCACCTGCTGGAACTACTGCTTTTTGACACTAAAAGCCATACATTGAATAGTTGCATGCTAGATATCAAAAAGAGACAGAACTTTAAAAGAGGAAAGAAAATAAAGCCAAAATTTAAGCAAGGTTTAAAGTAAAAAGAAAGCATCAGCAGGAAATGAGCAGCAGGAGAGAAAAAATGTTAAGACACTACCTCTTCCTTTGTTCTTCATCACATTAACTGAGCTGAATACAAACATGTTTCTGCCTTTCAGCTTCCCCAGTAACACTCAGTAATTAAAATGCAATGTAATGTTTTGGAGTCAAATGGACATCACTCTCCTAACAGACTTAAGTTCATAATAACATGTTGTTTCAGATCCATATTGGGTTTTCTTCCTCAAAAGACAGACCAGTTCTGCCAAAGCTCTTTCATTTGTTTTCCTCCAAATAACGCTGAGGAAATGCTGGGGCCTGGCACTGCAATCACGAATAATGTGAACAACCCTGGACAAAGACTAAGAGGGAGTATGCAAATGGAAAGTAAACTCACTGAGCACTAAAAAATAGGATTGCATTCAAATATCCTGGTGGAATTTCCTGGAGGAAAGAAATGTTTACTTGCATTTATGAAGCAACAATCTGACCCAGTCTTCTTACCTATGAATGATGTTGAGAGAGGTAGGCTTTGCTTCTGTATATGGGAAAGATGGAATCAGATATAGGATATTTGATGGTATATGAGATATCCCAGTGGTCCTGGGAGCACCACTTCTTCTTACAGAAAAAACTCGAGTGAGATTGTTTCAGCTACATCTCTAAAGGGCAGAAATTTTACACAGCTTATCCTCTTTATTACAATCTAATTCTAGTTCAGCAATAAACCCCCCTGGATGCTTTCCACATGTGTATACACTTCTCTGCTAATTCTTGTCTCTCCAAGGGCTTGGAAAGTGTAAACACCTGACACAAAACCAGTGTAAAATTAAGGAAGACACTGACTGTCACATGGACTTGTGACAGTAACACAAATCTGTTTCTCAAATGCTTTGTGTACAACAGGTTCTTTGTTCACCTTTAGAGGTCTGTACATGGGGAGCTGTTTGGACTGGGAATATGGCTTTTACAGCTGACTGTGTGTGGGGGAGCAGAATGACAAGTAACATCCATACTGGACACACTTGGTCCTTGGGCAGGACTAGTGTTATTTCTCACTGATGTATATAGTATGAAACTATTTAAAATTTACTTCCTTATATTGATTAAGTCCCTTTACACTCCATTAATCCCCACATAAATTGGTTTAATCTGTGAATCGTAGAATCAGTGAATGGTTTGGGTTAGAAGGGACCTTAAAGCTCATCTTGTTCCTGCCCTGAGCAGGGACACCTTCCACTAGCCCAGGTTGCTCTGAGCCCCATCCAACCTGGCCTTGAACAGTGAACTAGAACAGTTCTGTGTAAGGGAATTCAACAAACAACACCCTCACAGCAGTATCTCCCCATGCCATGCCTGACTGTGTTTCCCTGCAGAAATGGCAGGAGACAGGCTGCCCTCCACTTTCCTGCCATGGGGACAATACTGGGCAGGATGGTGCCTTCACACACCATCTAAAGACTGGCTCCTCTCAGAACTGCACAAGAGCCAAAGTTTTTTGTGATGATCTGGATATTAATCTAATGAAGACAGAGGGATACCAAGTTAGTCAGTGACATTTAAATTTAACAAAAACCTATGCAGATCAAGTTGGCTTGGTATGTGTCATTCATTGAGCCATCATAAGGCAGCCTAGCCCAGCCTCAGCATCTGACTTGCTCTCTAAAACTTTTCCATTTTCTTGATATGCCATTCAAAAGCTACAACTTACCTAGACCATAAATGTTCTAATATACTAAATCAGCAACTAAACCACATTAGCCTTCCAGCACAACTATCTGTGGAAAAACCTTGTATCCAAGAGGCTGCAGAACAGACAGCTTTAATTGACAGACTTTTATTGACATAAAATCTCAGATCTCCTAATGAAAAATGACATTATCAGAATCTGAGCCAGAACCCAAACTCTGATTGCTCTGATCTCAGCCAAAATGCCCCCCAAGATAGGTGTCAAGACTGAGCTTCTTTCCTTCATACTAAAGAATGTTACTTCAGAAAAGTCTTACATTTTAAAACTTATTCAGTAAATATATTGTAAATAAATGAGCAATCACTTTATATATCATTACATTATACCAGATACCATCTTTGGGCAGACTGTGTATTGCTCTAGGATACTGTTATGGAAGGTACCGTATCTTCTAATAAAAAAATGACAAGTTTTCCTTTCTATAGCTTCATTTCACACAAAGTATCTGTCCCACTTAACACTTTACACACCAAGGGGCACTTAAGAGTCCCTCATTTGTCTGTACAATGCCAGGAAATTTCAAAACCTTTCCTACTGAGAAACAGAAGAATGCCCTTCCCCCTTTTCATTCTCATTTGTAATGGCCCAGATCCGAGGGATGCCTCTGAGAAAAGACTGGATCTTGGACAACTGCAGGTCCCACATCCAAACCCTTCCCCTCCTGCAGTCTGTTTCCTTCCCACTTGTCCCTCTGCTAACAGAAAATGAGTTTACAAAAATAAAGAGGCATACTCCATCAGTGGTGAGTCATTGCTCTGTACTGTTCCCACCTGTGGATCTGAAAGACCAGCTCACAGGCAGAAACAGGCTCGAGTGGCACCACTGTTTCAAATTAGTTGGCCACAGGAGGTGTCTGTGCAAGAAGACCCCCTGTCAGTCTGTGTAAGCAGCACTTGAACTGGAACAGTTTGCCCCCATCTTCACTCTCATCTTAGGCACTGGACACAGACAGGACTGGGGAGTGCATTCCTCACCTCCTGCACTCCCTGCCTGCGGGGGAGGACAGCCGCCTGCTCTGAACGAGCAGCACTAAACGCCCGAGCATCAGCGGGCCTTGGGGGTGGGGCTGCGAGGCCAGAGGGAGCCTACAGTCATCAAACACCATCGCTCCCAAATCTTCCAGGGTATTCAGTCTGGGAGGCGTCAGGTGTATGGTGTAACTCCCCACACCACAGAAATTCCACAGGGTTAATGCTAGGGTATTCTCATCCACATGATTTCCATCCACATCCATGAATTTTCTGCATTAACAAGCCTTTAAGTATTAAGCAGAAAGGGTTGATATGTAGAATATGTTTCTCCTCTGTGTCAGAATATATAAACATAAACATTTATTTTCATATCCTCACAGGGCTGCAGAATAAAACACAATTTTGCAAACAACACGACTAAGTAGAGGATCAAACTTGAGCTTCCCAAAGGACCTTTTTTTGATATTACTTGAAAAAGAAACAAAAAATGTTTGAAACTCGAAAATTATGTGAAGTCACACATCCATTTAACTGTCAGCATTAATGACAACTTAGTTGTCTGCCTTGTCTCCAGAAATAAGTCCTTACCCTGCAGTCACTACTGTGGTAATTGCTCATGAGGTAAGATCCCATGTCAGTGCAGACACAGCTGTAGATTTAAGCAGGTGAGCAGCTCAGGACAGATGCAGACAACTCCTCTGCTGACAGGTAATGCTACAAGTCACATTATTTGCTACAGATTAGGTGGCAAATTGGTGAGACTGTGGAATGACTGTACTTCTTTTCAGAGAAGATATATCTTTGTGGTGGATCCACACAATTCTGGTATGGACAGGAAGTTTGTTGACAGTCCTGTTTATTCATGTGCCCTGTGAAAACATGTGCAGTTGTACAGTGACATGTGTGACTAAAAATTCAGAGCAGATATACCTGAAAAGGGGTATTTGCTTGGTACATGAGCTGTCAACTCAATTGCTGACATTTTAATAGAAAAATAAACCTAGAGATAGTGAAGTCTGCTTGGACTCAGTGGGGTCAAAAAAAGACTACACAGAATGTTAAGCAAAAAGGATCCAAACACTTGTGGATTGGGGAAGATATTATTTTTAGCTAGTGTTCCTGACACAGATTTCACATTTGTTCACAAAAAGGAACTCCATGTTATACATTCCATCTGCCAAAAGCCTAGCCCCATAAAGCCCTCTGAAATATTTACCATCATCCAGCTTTTACAGAAGGTTGTGAAGTTCCAGCATGAACAAGAGCAGTCTTTGATTCCCAGTGTTCATTCTGGGGGCACAAATAACAAAGAAAAACACAATGGTAAGCTGGTTCCTTGTACACTTGCTGTCTAGAATGTGGTATATGAAAATCTCCTCCTCAGTCCTTTCATTATCGAGAACAGTTAAAGTATCATCTAAGACAACTGATGTTATGTGTGAAAAATAAACTGAATTTGAATTTTGATGGACTGGATTTTTCAGAATTTCTTCAGCTGAAGACAAAAAGAATCTTTCCAGCTGTAGATAAAAGCTAAGTTGTAAAAGCAGATCTAAATGCAAGAGGGCAAGCAAGGTCTGTTGCAAGTCATATGTAATTAATAAATCACCCCCTCCTTATACTCCCACCTCCATTTCATGTCTATGTAAACCTGTCAACAGGGAAACAAATGATGAATAATTCAGAAGACTATTCCCTCCTTCCTTCTCCTCTTGATTTATTAACCCATTTTTAAAGTATAATTTGACCAAGCTAATAGCCACAGACTTCCTGAACTGACTCTCTGAGCATTAATTCTGTCTGCATGGTCATAGTCCTACTCTTACAGTCCCATTTAATAGCAATGGATTAAGAGACAACAAAAGGCACCTGAAAGCCAAATGAGAGCTCAGCCACTCTTTGACTCTTGAAATCTGTTCTCTGCAAGCAAGAAATTTATCTTATTTATTCTGGGCTGTTGTCTGGAAGCTACCTCCTCTTCAAGTCCTGAAACACTTGTACCACAATAGCTACTGGATGAAGTCTATTTATGTAGCTTTATGAAAAAAACCAACATAGCTACCAACAACACTGAAGGATCAAGTAGGACCTGTCAGAGATATTTATATGTACCACATACATGTGAGCAAACAATAGGCAGACAAGCTCTTCCCTAAAATGCAGGGGACACTGGGAAGCAAACCAGCCTTGAGCTCCCCTTTGAACTGTGTGGGCAAGCAGGAGCTGCATTGAGGCCCTTTGCAGGACAACACAAACCCATAAATTGGATTTGAGTGTGTCACAGCCTTTGGCATCCTCCTCCTTCCCACTAGTATTGCCACGTCCCTTAAACATCTTCCCATACAGAATCCTGTCTTTGGACCAGAATTCAAAGTGGGTGTTTCCAGTTTACTTATGCTTTAGCAATCCTAATTCAAACTAATTCATGTTCACAGCAGTTAATGTGAGCACTTTTTATAATGGCACTCCACAATCTTTAGGTTATTAGGACTTGTCTGAATAGCTGTGGCATGACAAGATTGTATTGTCCCAGGAAGCCCAGATCTGGGCCAGTGGGAAGTTGCTGCAATATCCTCAGTGGCAAATTGTACAGCTTGTCACAACAGAATCAGACTGATGTGGGTTTGCAGTTGTTCACAATTTTTTCATGCTTTCACACCTCCAGAAAGCTCTAAACAGCCCTCTAGGCACTGACTCTGTCAGGATGTGCAGTCTGGGTGGTAGCACCATAGCAGTTTGCACTTTATGCTGGCATCTAGTGTGGAAGAAATGTGACTTGCTGGTGTTGTACACACCCAACAATTCTGAATGCATTCTGAATACCAGGTTTTGACTGATGCTGTGCTGGATTTCAAAGCTGTTTATTGTTCCAGAGCACAACCAGCACTGAAGGGGACAGCTAACAGGGAACTACAGCATGGCAACATTCTCCATATGCCCACACCTGAAAGCTACTCAGGAAGAATCAGACCACTGGGATCATGACTGAGGTTGCTTTGCCTTTGTTTGACTTTTGCTTGTAACTATCCACCAATTTACTACAAACACACCATTGGCCTGCTGATCTGCTGTTCTCAGATGAATATATAATTTGCTGCACAGCAATTTGGGAAAGATATGCTGATAAATAAGTATATACTTAGCCTAGGTGAGATTTTGTTCTATTTTCTAATTTTTCAATTAATTTTGTCTGGTGTAGAATTCTTAAAACATCCATAAATAGATACTGTTCCAGTGTCTTCAAGCCCCATGCTGGACAACAGCAATAGCAAAGAGATTAGGAAAAGTTTATTATGTTTTGAGGTAGTGAGATGTCTTGAGAGCCTTTCTCTGGAAAGCTGCCTTCCATATCCATGAGCAAGTCACAGTTCAGACACAATGCTTGGACATAACATCTTTAAATTTGGTGTCCTGCCACTTAAAAGCCTTTGTATTTTTTGAATACTGATTAGTTCAGCATCATTGCCTCTTTTTTTTTCCCCTCCTACTGAGGAAACTTAAGAACACAGGAATTACACCTCAAGAGCAGGGGACAGAGATACTCACAGTGAAAACTCTAGGTCAGAGTATCCAGTTTATGCAGGCACACAAGTATCCATGACAGAGAACTGCAATGCACACAGCAGGCATGTGAAGCCAGAGAAGGTCTGTGGTGGATATGTGTGACGAGCTTTCTCTTAGTGTATGTCCAGCTGAAACAGAAAACAGGCAGAAGAGCCACACAGTAAATCACAGGAATGAATCACAGCAGAGTGCCAGTGATGTTCATGGAGACCAGTTGCATCTCAGACAGAAATGTATAGAAAAGTGGGACCCCTATGAGAATTGTATCACAACTTTCTCAGTGCATGGTTAGCTCTGAATTCCAAAACAGACAGGCACTTGCTCACAACAGCAAATACCCTATGGGAGAGAGGAAATGAAGGAGGAACATTCAATTAATAAAGCTCAAAACTCAATGCTTTACAAGAATTAATAAAGTTTTGTTTTCTGTAATAACAAATAACAGCTCACCATAATTTGAACAGTTCCAAGAAAAGGCTCACTAAGTTGAAATTCAGGCTACTGAATAACAAGCTGTAAGGTGCTTCCGTTCTAACAGGCTACTCAAAGAGGTCAGTGAAGTAGGGGATTGATCTTATATGGAATACAGTAATACTCAGAAGGAATTAGCAACACCATTAGCAGAAGATACCATAAGCACTTCAGCTTCATGCCAGGCTAAAATCTCAATACCTCATTGTCTCAGTTTAACATGATTACAGCTTAGAAATTAAGAAATTTCAGGTGGAAGCGTGGAAAAGAACAGCTCTTTGTTAACAAAATCCGAATAAACAACAAATGGTGCAATCAAAACTTTCGGAAGAAATAAAGTTCCAATTCCCCAGGTGGAAGGAGAAACCCACGGCAGCCTGGGGAGGGGGGAGAGGGGAAAAGGCTGCAGGCAAACTGTTCCGGCAGCTCAGCAGCTGCTCGCTGTCGTTCGTGAGCGGCCGGTGGCTTCGCAGCCAGCAGTGAGAGAGTCCTTTTTCCACAGGCACAGTCCCGAGGGCAGAATACCTCGCTCAGGTATTCTGACCCAT